ACATAATCACCTTTTTTGGCAATGTTTTATTTTCGGCGTCTATTGCTTTTGTGCCTCAAACCAGTACAGTCTTGGGGGCTTTTTGATCTGCCCAGCTAATAAAGCCGTTTGAGTTGCTCTGTTCGAGAATTAGAACACTTGCCTTTGTTTGAACTGGGTCCACCTTTGGTGTGGTCATAAAGCAGCCTACAAGCTTGTCTCAGGTCACTAACTTTGTGGCAGATGACAAATTGACCCGGATGCCAAATTTTGCAACTTTAACCACTGAATTATTAAGCTTAAATGTGGCTCCTACAGCAACGTTGAGGCACCGAAATTCTACTTCAATTTTTATACGTTTTTGCAGTGCACCGCTAGAGCGCTGCAACAGGCAGCAACAACGCATATTGTGACGACTTGTGTGTGCGTATAAGTGTGATGTTCGTCTGTCCAGACATTTCTACTCAAAAACCAAGCAAGCTTTATTGCTGAAATTTTGCAAGTGTGTTCGTTGGCCATTTGGGACTCTGCAACCAACTTTCACGCATCTCCACGTCTCATGTTTGAACATGTGGAGTTTGTTGGAAAACTGCAAACTCTGAAACGAGGGAATTTTGACTTTAAATTCAAAAACTTGGGAATCAAAAAAACTAGAAGCGCGAATTTTAAGGGAATGTTCATTGCCAGCGCACGACTAAAAGATTTCAAATCCAGCTCCTCGATATGCGTGAGTCTCAGGTTCGGGCACGTGAAAATTTTGACGGTCCTAAATCCAGAAATTGAAAAGCTACAAAACTGGGATTTAAGGGGATCTTCTTGCTCACATACAACCGAAAGATTTCAGACTAAGCTTTCTAGTACGTTCGCGTTTCACGTACGAGTACATGAAAATCTTTTGTGAAATTCAACAACTAGAGAAATAAATAAGCAAGAAGCTGATTTTTTTAAAGAGATGTTTCGCAAACACGTAGAAATAAAAAATTTAAAATCTTCATCTGCTTGATAAACCTATGTTCGGCCGTCATGCGTGCTGAAGGTTAGGATGCAAAACTATCTATTCAGTCGTGTCTTTTCCCTTCGCATGCAAGAAAAAGGACGAAATGTATTAAATTGCAACGCAGCCGACGCGAGCCCACGTGTTCAACTACAAAGCGGCAGCCATTCAAGCTGTTGACGATCTGGCCGCTTCATGTTTAGCGCCAAAGCGCATAATTGCACCAGCAAGCCTGTGCGTAGCTAATTGCGTCTGGTCTCGTGCGTGGTTTGTGACCATGCGTTCACAGCTTCGGCTTCCAGCTTTTATGGTCAGATTGAATCAACTGGGGAAACACGATTTTGCCAGTAACCTCTTTCGTTTTGTACGGCAACGCATAAAGCAACGCTGTTAGGAAGAAGTCAAAATTGCTCCTGTATTCGCTCTCTGTGCGAATCGAAAACACTCCGAGATGACGTAAGTGGTGAGAAGTACCAGAAGTAATAGCCTGCTCCCTGTGGCTGATTCTTTCAAAGGTTAACCAAAAGAAAACTGACAGCAAAATAAAGTACCAAAATATCAAACCAAATTTGTAAAAAGAGTCAAAACATTTTGCAACCCATAGCATTTTCCTTAGTTTCTACAAATGCAGCGCAGCTGATGTCATTTCGTATTTTTTGAAGAAGTCTACAACAGTGGAGTTTATGGTGAGGAATACAGACCATACTGGATCGGTGTTCGTAAGATTAATGGCACGTGGATGATACCAGTAAAGGACGAACCATTCGGATACACTCCGGTCACTTTTACGAATTGGGGACCGTCACAACCAGATGGCTGCTGTTGGAATGATGTTACCTGTGTCGTGGTGAATCGTCGGAACTATTTGGGGGAATGGGATGATCAGGGCTGCAACAGCTATGTGGGATACGCTGGCGCTGTTTGCCAGAAGCAACCACTGTGATCCATTTATGAACGTTTTCTTCAACGAGATATTTTGTGGCTAGGGATTTGAGAAGAAAATAACTTTGAAACAAATTTCATCATAATTTACTGGTTTGTAAATTCACGCGTTCATGGATGAAATAAATACTGAGCATTCTGAGTGTATTGCTAATTTATCATTTGTAACTTTTTTGCCCCAATCGTACAGTCGTTTAAGCAAATGCAAAAAAATGCATGTTGTCGAGAACCTTCCGGAAAACGAATGGGTTTTGTCAGGCACATTTAGTTCAGCAACATGAAAAGCTGGGAGTCTGAAATTCTGGGAACATATTATCATCTTATGTTTAACTCTCTCGTTTTAAAGTCATCGTCCATGCACGCATAAATCTTTCGTATGAACTCTAAAAGAAGTAGCAAATTCGTTGGCAAAGGAGCGATTTCGGGAACTGGTGAACGTAGAAAACTGCAGTTTTGCAGAGATGTTATCCGTGCATATGTGAACTGAAATTTTCCATTGTCCACGCTGCCTTGGTATTCATAGATGTAAGCAAGTATATCATAAGTCTGCACTTTTAAAAGTTGGATTACCGTTTCAGAAATCCGGCACCACAGTATACCTCATTTTTGCTAGCCGTCTCTTTACAGAATCGAACAATCATGTTTTTCTCATGATTGCTAAAATTCTTCCGGAGAGGATCGAGCGCTTTTCCTATTTATTCGCTTTCTGCCACAAACAAACTCAAGCCGTCTTTTACGCAGAAAAATTTGGTTCAGCAGTCCTTCTAACGGATATTAATAATTTTTTTTCAAAGGATGAAACGTAAGTAATGGTTGGTAGCAGGCTGCCATTGGGCAATATAGCATTGGTCAAAGCAAATAGAGAGGTTGTCGCACGCTCCTTTTTTAGCTGAAGAACTATCCTATGAAATGCTAAATGTAAACTAAACAGGTTACATTTGAATGAGAGAGCATTTCATATTTTTTATGCTAATAAAATGATTCATGAGAACTTTCAAATATTTTTAAAAAGCACAAAAAACTGTATTCATCCTAAGGTGTCCAAACATACTTCATGGTACTTAAATATAAGCACTTTTTTTCACATAAAGATAAGCAAAAAAGGGCACTTATCAGTTAGTAGCTTAGTCATTTATTGAAATACATATAAATATGCAAAAAATGTGATGCAGATTTTTAAAGCACAAATGCTAATAAAAAAGTATCTTCAACTCTAAACGTTATCATATTTACATGCGCTCATATCTTTGTATATATATATATATATATAAACAGACAAAAAAGCTCAGATTTTCCTACAAGTACTAGCAGGTATGTTTGGTGGAATTCTGACTTCTACGTTTGATATCGTCGTTCTTTTTTACAGCTGTAGCGGCGTCCCCACTGCGGCAGCACCTGGACCAACTGAAGGTAATTTTTTGGAAGTTTTTAATCAAAAATACACAGATGAAAAAGTTTTTTAAAAATAGACACGCACACAGCACGCATAAGTTACCAGTTCGCAATACAGGCTACCATAGAGTTTCTGCACCACATTAATTAACTGTGCAAAACACGAGTAGATAAACGATCAGCCAGTCACCCCTTCGCTCCTTCCCGTCAACCCTCTCAATATTTAATAAGGTTTTACCCGGTGAGTGGGAATCTTCCCGTTATATGATCCATGTTCACATTCACTATCCGGGAGAATCTTGATATTCTTGACACGAGATAGTTCCAAGTTCCATATCATGATAGCAAGTTTTACATGAAAGTACGCAATCAAACTAGAATCTTGAGAGAAATCATACTGAAATGAATATTTCAGAATGCGCCGATGCGTTTTCTGCATACTGCTCATCATTTCCTCCTCCGAACTGCACTGATCTGTACATTCGAACGCGTATTTGCCCCGAAACATGCGGTTTTTGTAGTAGTACTACTACTGTGATGACTACGGCGCACGACACAACGACTACGCCATATGACACAATTACAACACCATACGGCACAACGGCCATGCCATATGATACAACGACTAGGCCTTATGACACAACGACCACGCCATACGTCACAACGACCACGTCATATGACACGACGGCTACGCCATATGACACAACGACTGTGCCAAATGATTCAACGACCACGCCATATGACACGGCGACCACGCCATACGGCACAACGACCACGCCATACGACACAACGACCACGTCACACGACACAGTGACCACGCAATACGACACAACGGCCACGTCATATGACACAACGACCAAGCCATACGACACAACGACTACGCCATACGGCAAAACGACCATGTCGTATGACACAACGACCACGCCATATGACACAACGACTACGCCATGCGGCACAACGACCATGTCGTATGACACAACGACTGCGCCAGACGACACAACGGCCACGTCATATGGCACAACGACCACGCCATACGGCACAACGACCATGTCGTATGACACAACGACTGCGCCAGACGACACAACGACCATGTCATATAACATAACGACCACGTCATATGACACAACGACCACGTCATACGACACAACGACCACGCCATACGACACAACGACCACGTCATATGACACAACGACCGTGCCATATGATACAACGGCCACGTCGTATGACACAACGACTACGCCATACGGTACAACAACCATGTCATATGATACAACGGCTACGCCATACGACGCAACAACAACAACTGCAAAAACAACGGCAGACGGTAAGAACCAAAACAGTACCAAAACATAGTTGTGTGAAGCAAATTCGGAATAGAGTTCTAAGAAACAATTCTTAAACATAGTTATATGCATATACATCCGTGCACCCACTTTATAAAATAGCAGTTATGAGCAAGTTTTCAAAAATCAGCGCAGCTCACGTTGCAACGATAGTTGGAGGCAGCTGACATGAATTTTGCTCTTGTATGATAGTTTGTTGTAAAATGCATGGGAAATGATATTTTGAGGTCGAAAGCGAACAGCTGTTAATTCATACAAACTAAATCACACAAAATGTGCAGCATAGACAATGATGCATGTGGAGAAAGTCATGAAATGTGATTCACGAAATTCTAGATAACTGTAGGCACTGGCTGGAGGTCTCAGCTCCTGGAGGACATTGCTCAAACATGTCAAGTACGATCCGGGAAAGAAATTGTTGGGGTTTTTTTTTTTTTTTGAGAATTCCTCTAATCCGACTCATCTCCTTATCACAAAAAGTGAATTCATTCAGTCACCACCAAATTTTAAAATAACTGGACTAGGGGTTGAGGAATGTCTCTGTGAACTGCAGTTTGCTCGGCTGTTGTTGATTGCTTGGTAGCGAAAGCGTGCATCTAAACAATAATGTGAATGGTGAACTCTGTGTTTCAGTTTAACCCTAACTAAAATTTCAGGGAGTATGTCAACGCCGGCTACAGTACCTATTGTTGAAACAACGACAGCATGTATAACACCGTCAACGACTGCTACGTCTACAACAAACACGTCATCGTCAAACTCTTCCACAACCACAACAACATCAGCAACCACGACCACAACAATCATAACAATACCAACCACATCCCCGTCAGCCACAACATCAACAACAACATTCACAACAACCAACACATCATCAACCACAACAACGACGTCCATAACAACCACGATCACAACAACCACGACATCATCAGACGCGTCAGTAACTACGACGACGTCATCAACAACGTCCACAATAACCACAACGTCGTCAACCACATCCACATCAACGACAACAACATCGAACGCATCCACGTCATGTACAACAACACCGACCACAAACACGCCAACTACAACAGTAATTCCAACTTGGACCACGAATGCAACTACACCGACAATGCCCCCAGCACATGCAACAAGTTTGGGCTCAGTTATACGATTCCGATTTTCATTCTAAATAACTTTATAACTTTGTCGAAAATGGTATTCACGAGAGCTTGGCTCGGCTCAAGTTCTAGGAAGTCCTGAAGGAAAGGAGAGATCGGGATATTGACTAGAAACGAGGTAGAATTTTGCTTGGAGGCAAGAGTTGGAGACAGTAGGGTGGAGATTATGGGGCGGAGGAGGAAGAAGATATATGTCTTTACGATGATACGAATGCAACTAGGTGCAGGAAAAAAGCTCGCATGTCAAAATTTGTACTCGCATACCAAAATTTTATAGAAATCATTGGCGACGCGCACTGACGAGCCCGTGCGATTATGCGTTTTTGCAGTGTTTTGTGCTGCAATAAGATAACTCGAAATTTCGCCAGCTAGAAACCTATTGTGCATGCTGGTCCTGGAATTTCGGGAAGTTGATTATCCACGCTATACTTGGACAGGAACCATTTCCTTGAATTCCCAGGTTTCCAACATTCTCAGTTCCCGAGTTACCTAAATTCCCGCTGAAAACTTTCGCGGGGCCGTACGTGGCAACCACTCATAGTGGGGGGCTGAATTTGGCAAATTTAAGTTGTAGATGAGTTGGGAACATTTCCTGAAAGTTTCAGCCTCCCAGATTCCCTGGTTCCGCAGATAGCCATTTTCCCGCTAAAAATTTTCACGGGGCCGTACGCGGGGACCATGCATAACTGGAAGACGGGGGGGGGAGGGGGCTGAATTTGATAAATTTAAGTTGCAGGTGAGTTGGGAACATTTCCTGAAAGTTTCAGCCTCCCAGCTTTAATGGTTCCCCAGCCAGCGATTTTCGCGTCAGGAACCCTCCCGGGGCCGTACGCGGGAACTACGAACCCCCGGGGGCTGAATTTGAAATCTTTGAGTTCTATGTAGACGGGGAACATAATCCCAAAATTTCAGCTCTCTAGCTTTTCTGATTCACGAATTAGCGATTTTCCCGCCAACACTTTTATCCCCTCGCATGCGGGGCCTAGACTTGCGTGAGGGTTGATACCGCGGTCCTGGGGTAACACTTGGGCGGAGAATCCATTTGCAAATTTTGGCGCCGGAGCTTGCTTGGGTGCCGAGTTGAAATACCCGGACAGACGCACACACACACATACACACGTACACCGGGGTCGTCACAATATGTGTTTTTGCATATTATGCAAAAACGCATAAAAATCCAGCGCTTGTGAACGATTATGCTTTTCGTTGTTTGCACGCAAATTGTGCGATCCAGCCGAACGTGTTTTAGTAATTACCCATGTATTCCTTCCCTGCGCTACAGTTTAGACCACGTCAGTGTGTTGCCTGTGGCATTGTTGGTGAAAATCAGTAGAAGATGGATGGGAAAAAGCGCTGAAATGTAAGTAGTAAAATGGAACATTCGCCAACTACGTATTTGGAGAGCTTGAACTTCCTTGCATTTGAAGGGGCATTATACTTCCGAAATCTGTATTATTTTAATATATATTCAAATATTGTAAACACAAAAAATCAAGGACTTCCCCCACCTTTCCATCCTAGCACTGATAAACATGTTAAGTTCTTTATGAGACATCTCCGATAGGCGTCTCATAGGGGATTTTGTCAATGAAGTACCAGGTGTGCAAAAGTCATAAATCACTTTGTCGTGAGAACGGGCGAACCTCAAGAAGGTCTGGGCGCATCACGCCCTACGTGTTATTTGCTTAATTCAATACGGAACGCAGCCTCGGAAAGTCAACTAGTGGGTATAGCATTCCAGATTACTAAGGCCAAGCACTGCATCGTTCAGCTACGATCCGTAAACTATCTCTGGATCAGTCGCCAGCCTTAGGGCCGAATCAGTACGTTTTTTTACAATGACCTGTACCTTCCATTTCATCTCATAATATCATGTTATAAAGATTTTACTAAAGCAAACTATAAATTGTAGCTAACAAAATAATCATCGTGGAAAGCTCGCAATCGACCAGTTCGTTTTACAGGTTGTCCGCCAGGATGGAAGTTGTATTCAGTCGATAAGTTGTGCTACTATCCGGTGAGCTAATTTCTCATCAGAAACCCTTTACCATACACTACTTTACATCAGGCATTCTGTTCCTTTAAAAACTGGCAGACTTATCATGCTTTTTTGTTGTGCAGCGCTATAGCGCTGCTACAGCCAGCAAAAATTCATATTGTCGAGAGGCTGTGAGTGTATGCTCGGAAGCGAGTGCATTTTGTCACCCACTTTCATCTCAGGAAACAGGAAAGCTGGGAGGCTGAAATTTTGGGTGCACGTTCCTACCCCGTGTGTCACCCTCTCGTTTTAAGACCTCCCCCACAAGCGCCTAGACCCCGCGTATGGACCCCCAAAGAATATGCAAGTTCCTTTGCCGGGAAGCAATTTCAAGAACGAGACAAGACACAAAGTTGAAACTTTGCAGAGATATTTTCTGCTTATGTGCGAGCTAAAGGTTTTAAATTCAGCTGCTGCGCACGCCTGTGCAGCGCGTGTGACCATGCTAAAGTTTGCGACTTGGTACTATGCTAACTCGAGAACTTGCCGGAAAACAGCGGCTAAAATTTTGTCAGGATGTTTGTCTCCCACAAAGAAAATAGGTGTACCTAAAATGGGTACCGATTTGCACTTGCGCCACGACTTAGGGCACTTCAAGGTATTTGTATTTCGCTTACCGGATAAGCTGTGATGCTGAAAATTCACAGGGA